AGTGTACTATAAGATTGATTTTTAATTAATTTTTTTGGTGCAGGCGAGCTGGACGCGTCAGCTCGTCCAGCGCTTTAAGACCATGCGCCTAGAGCTCGCAGAGAAGCAGGAGCAGCACGGTCTCAGCAGGGACGAGCAAGAGCACAGGGACATGAGCCTTGTGTTTCGGATCCGGGAGAAGTACAACCATAAAAGGCGGACGAAGTCCGAAGCGGAGAACGACCAGTCAGACGACCTAATAGGGGAGGACGGAATTCCCCTGGCCATCATGTCGAAGAGGAGAAAGAGGCAGTACCCTGTGGTGAGTATGCGGACTCCTATGATGAACGGACGACGAGGTGATCATAGGCATAACGACTAATAAACATTGACTATGGACGCAGGTACAACAGTACATGGGAATGAACAGGACACTGGCCAAGGAGCAGCAGGACACACTCCGGTCACTGGAAAAAGGTGAGGTCGATGCTAAGGAAAGGGCCGCTGAGGAGGAGGAAATCATGGAGTCGTCCGCCATCTTCCAGCGGACGTGGATGATCTCCACCGGCACGCTCTGGCCAAATGTGCAAGAGTTATACCCTCCACTTAAGAGGAGAGCCGAGGTATGAGTGCGTTATATAAGTATGCGTGGTTATAGAGGGATGGATGGAACAGCTGTTGCATTACAATTAATATTCCTTTTCAGATCAGAGCGGAACTGATTCGGCAACGGGGGGCGGATTTCTGCAGAACCATAAAGAAATTCTTCTCAGAGTCCAGGAACGCGAAAATTTTCATACGGCTGAAGGGTGGCAGGAGTGCTGATCTGAGCAGCATCTTGTCAAACGCGCAGGCAGCCGCACCCTACGTGAAGGTGTTCAGTGATGGTAACGGAACATGGGGTGAGAGTGTGCTCTTTCTTTATCGCTTTCTTCTTTTGTTGCAGGAGAATGGAGAGAGTTGAAGGTCTTTCTGGTGGGAGATTTGTATTTTTTCCATCTCAACTTTATTTACCTTTTGTCCCATAGTGGTGATGTGCTGACGCATGTCAAATGTCAAGTTGGAGGCTGCCAGGGATCTGCGGCCTTCAGTGGTGACAATGTGTACCCAATTCGAGAATAGAACCACGAGCCCGATTTGGAAACGCTGGATCTGATACTGTTCAGAAATGAGCTAAGGCACTTTGGAAGGGAAAGTTCCGAGGGTATCGTCGTCTACATGACAACGCAAGTGCAAGGTCAGTCAGCAGAAAGTACGTGATGATAAGGAGATACTTATAACGGGCAAGCCCTTAAAAACGTATTTTAATTTTCGCGGGTTTCGCCTTGGAGCACGGGCGTATGCGTTTCCTGCTGCATCTCAAATGATGCAGCGAATCAGGAGGGCGCATGTGCCTCCTACGCCGACCGACCTTCTGAACCTGCAGGAGACACTGCGCCACCCTAACTGGACGAACTGGGCTAAGGATTCAGAGGGTAACGACCTCTTTCGAGAATCCTTCGTTGCACAATGTGTGAGGCCAGGGTGGAAAGCCCACGCGGACGGGACATTTAAGTGTATCCCTCAGTATCTGAACCTAGAGCAGCTATTTAGCCTCCACGTTTTTGACGAGGATAACCATGGCCAAAAGAAGCAGGAAGGAATCAGGAGTACTTAGTACCGCTTTTCGGATTAGACGCACTATAAAACAAACAGTGTGCGGTACACTGTTAGCGTGGTAGACTGTCAGATTTTAGGTAATGTGACGGTGCCTCACATTACCGAACTAAAACACGAGTGCCCCACTTTTGCTAAAGTAGAACAGGGTTCCGTGCCGTGAATGAGGAGATGAATTTGGGAGTCGCTGGCGGCCAGTTCAAAAGTAAGATAAGTGTAATGAAGAAGCAATACAAGGCCGTTAAGGACCACAATAATACTAGTGGCGGAAGTAGGAGGGAGTGGCAATATTATGCTGTGAGTTATTTTTCAAATTTTTGATCTTATGTTGATGGTGTATATTTAGACTAACGGCAAATGGTGTGCTCCTTTATTTTTAGCCCACCCCTATGCTTTTAAAAAAGGGCTTATGCAACCGCTCTCGTGTCCGTCCGTCCGTCCGTCGTCCGTGTAAGAGGAAGGAGATGAGCTAGAGGTCCCTGCCTCGCCGGTGACGCCCCGCGCCGCTCTCAGCTCCTCCGCGGGCGCCGCGAGCCTACCTGCAGGTGGATCTGCAGCGCCGCGGAAGCCGAGGGAGGGCACCGTGGCGTCCACCCCCGTGAGCGGGATCGGCGTGTTCAACTGCGAGGCCAGCAGCAGTGTGTCACCCATTTGCGGCACGGGCTGGCGGCCGCAGCTGGAGCCCAGGACGCAACTTCCCGACTTTGCTCTCAAAAGGCATGAGGCCAACCTGGCTGCAGGAGGGCTCGTCAAGTACAAGCCTCTCCCCCAAACAGATGGGCGGAGACTGATCACGATCACATATGACGAGTTTGTAGCGCAGATCAATGCCGATAAGCATGTTGGCGGATATTGCTCGTTTTTGGACTATGAATGTGTGGGAGAAACTCGCCTAGGGTTCAGGTCTCTGATATATCACCAATGTCAGGTATGCAGCCTGGTCACCAAATTCCAGACGGACGCGGGCCCAACAGTGGATGTCAACACTAGCATGGTACTTGGCACGGTTGAGGCTGGCATAAGGTACGAGGCGGTGCGCACCCTGGCCGGTGCCCTCAACATGCCCGCCCCGACCAAGAAGACGTACGGCCGCTACGAGGACATGCTAGCAGACGTCATCAAGGAGGAGTCGATGACGGCCATGCTTGAGGCTGGGAAGAGAGAATATGATCATGCTGTAGCGGTGGGCAATGTAAGTGCGGATGGCACTCCCTTCGTCACAGGTAAGATTCAGATAGGTTGGCTCTTTAGCGCCTCTGGGCTCAGAGGGGAAGTAAAAAGTTGTTGTGGACGAAAGTCGACGAAAGCCAACGTGCCATAGGGCCTAAACCAAAAATCGCAAAAAATAATGGTGCAAACGGGTGAGGGATACAACCAGTTCAGACTCGCATACCAATCCTGGTGTTGATATCTTGAACCGTTTGGCCGTGGCGACGAGTTGAAGAGTGCGCGGAGAGGCGCTGGCGGTGCTGCGGAGGGACCCCGAAACGGCTCGGCCAGGAATGGTAGCCCGCCCTCTTAATAAGCGACTGAGCACTTAGCCCTCTTTTGCGTTTTCTTCGAGTTTTCTTGGTGTTTTAAATGCGTTCTTGAGCTGAATTTATCAGGCTCCATCTAGTCTACTACGCGCGTTCTCTTATGTATTTTTTGACCTCACCTAAACACGAAACCAACGCAAAAAGTCGTCGGAGATTTTGACCCGGGCTCCCCCAAATTTACAAGCACATGATTATGCAGAACACAACAGAACTATAATTTACTTTAAAAATTTGCAGGTTAATGAGGATGATGAGAGTGACGAAGAATGGAAAGAGCCGAAACAAACTGGAAAGAGTGTGAAGGAAAGATTGAAGGCTATGGGTTATCCGGAGTACGAGGATGACACGTACATCATGAAGTCGCTAAAGCAACTGGCGGTTCAGAATCCCGATCTGAAAAGAAAGATTGATCAGCTGCGGACACCTGTCAAAAGAATTTCAGGCTATGTCAATTACGTTTGTGAGGGTGTGAGTGACTGGCAGCTTCTCACAGAATTTGAAAAATTAAGGAATACATAAGACTTATGTTGACCTTGGGTGAGGCGCAGCCTGGAACCTATAAGAATTATGCTGAACACATGAAAAGTCTCCTGAATTTTTCCACGGCTAATTTTTTTAGGATGATGGTATGCCGAAATGTCCAAGTGAAGTAAGTGTAAAATACTAAAGATTTCTTCTTAGTGTACCCGTCAGCTTTGAAAAATCTTTAAAGCGGGCCCGTTCTAACGTGCCCCTAAAGTAGTTGCCTAGTTAACCCTCCCCCTCTCAAAGTAGGGGACGCTTTTGTCGTCCTGTCCTCAGTTACCCCCTCAGGGGACCGCTTTCGTCATCTCGTTCTGCCACACCTATCAGGAGGGGACTTAATGGGCAATAATTCTCTGTCAATTGCGATCTTGCTAGCGTCAGCGTGAACAATTCACGTTTTTAGCCCGCCCTTCTGCTTTTTAAAACCCTTATAAAACGAAATCATTCCAAAACTCGTCCGGGACTGTTCCAAAAGCAGTCCGATCGTCTCGGACACTTCCAAATGTGTTCCAGGACAGTCCGTCAGCAATCCGAGTCCGATCCCGGACTGTCCGCAAGTAGCCCTCGGCACCCAGGACTGTCCGGAAAAAGCCGGTGCTACCGGACAGTCCCTAATAAGTCCGGTAGTCTGGTCCGGACCGTCCGAAGACAGTCCGACTACCGGGTCGTCACAGGACGGTCTCGATCTGTTTAAACAACCGATGAAAAGCATTTCTTGTTCTGGAAATTTTTCAGAACTTAGAGATATGCGCCAGGCAGCGCTTCTCAAGAAGAAGACTGGAATACTTAGGGCATCGAAGGAGTCAAGAAGAATTAATGCGAAGAAGACAATTAAGAACCTTGGCGCCCAAAGCGATTACGAATAAGAGTACACTCCTGGATCTAGTGAAGAGAGTGGTGAAGACGAGGATGATGACGATGGGTTCATCACTGTAGTAAGAACCATAATTTGTCTGCAAAAATTAATATCGACGTGTGCATGCAGAAGTGGCGTATCTGTGAAGAGGCGC